GATTTCGAGGTCCTTTTGCTATAAAAACCGATAACGAAATTCCATCTAATATTTGACGTTCGTGCCTCTTAAAAAGCCCCCCGTCTGACATTTTCTTTGGACAAGGAGGACTATTGGGCACCGGAAAATAATGCATTGTACAAGTTGTGAATACCACACGGCAAACTCGAGCAAGAAGTTTCCTTGGATCGACACAACGGCATGCCGTGAAACTGTGAAAAAAGCTGCAGTTGGCAGTAGTTCTTTCATATATAGTTGAACTTCAATGGCCAGTCGGTGTGGTCGGCACGAAAGGAGAACCATTTGTTTGGTCGACACTGGAAACGTTGCCAGAAATTCGAAAAAAAACCGCTGCAGGATGCACTTACGCATATGAAGAAGATATGTGCCTAACTATCGCGATAACATAGATAATTCATCGATACACGGCGCCGTCGAGTTCCAAGATTACGCAAAAGGTCAGCATGTATGGTTAGCATGGACCATTTGGTGGTTGAACGCGAAAAAGTATGCCAAATATGACTCGACTAGACAAATGGCGGTTGAATTCTGCAGACACTAGATAAATGCTCCTTCGTTAGCGCTCATTAGGCTTATTTACAATCTGTTGTTTCTGCAGATTAGACTATCAAAAGCTTACTGGCATTCCTGCAGCAGTGAACTTATGCCTTAGTGGTCTTGCGGAACTAAAGTCGATATCACGGGCTCGTCTTTGATGGCACTTGTAGGTAGATATACAGGACTGGTTTCCGGACGCTCTACCATATAATGTTTTAAGCACTTCGCACTAAAACGTTGCCAATGGTTCAGTAGATGTTTCGTATCCCGTATAAAATCCTTAGAGCTGAGTTCTACCATTTGTAGTTGAGACGTATGTGACTGGTGTATAACTACATAAAACGCTATGTTTAGATTCCTAGTAGACGCAGTGCCTCTTCCTCCTTTCGATATCAGTTACTGACACAGAGCGTATGATTTCTGTGCATGATTCCTGACAGTCATATTCATAATTCCACCTCAACGCAACGTCGAACGTACGTTTTTTAGGCGTGAGGCATGCTGCTCGATTTTTAATGTTCTAGATCAGGACGGTTAACCTGTCTAACCTGTAGGAAAGGGTGTGTGAAAATGATCGACAAAACTATACTTCTTCCACGATCTCTATCTGACCCGGAGATTTTCACTGCTCGTAGCTGGGTGCTGATCTGTTTTAGTCGAATCCATAGATGACCGTGATATAAACACCCGTTAGCAACGTTTTGTTGTTTATTGACCGCTCGAATCCAAGAGGAAGTTGTGCCGTCTAGCGGCTACCGTAATAAACCGCTAGCTGAACATTCATTCCAGTCTCTAATATAGGGTACTGTCGTACAGCAAGCGGTTATTTTACCACACATACAGTCAGTTACTGATCTCATGAAATCCTAGTGGAAATCCTGCACAAACCACACTCGGTTGAAGATGAATACTTCAATAATATGCATCTTTTTTTCAAAATTAATTTTTTAGAAGCTCTGTCCAAAAATATCTTTCCCTGTGCTCACTCGATAATCAGTCACGTCTTCTTCAGATCTGATACTCGAAGAAAGGCTATCGTTTGCTTTTAAAAGTGCTTCTAATTAGAAGAATTTTGAAGACCGTACAATGTTCAGTCAAACAGAAGCGTGTCTCTCCGTTTGTTAATACTCCTCATAAGACATGTCACATAGCCCACACCCCTCGCAAATTTTTCTGAACACTGTATGATCTCTTCATAATGGCATAGAGGAATGTATGCTCTTCATGACACGGACAACACACAGCTTGTAGGCTAAAAAACTTAAAAGAAAATGCCAAAGTGGATCCGGTACAAAATCGTTCGGGAGTTCGAAAAAAGTTTTAAAGCTTACATGAATAGAACATTTGATGAAATAATTTTTTTGTGAAATGTGTACAGGAGATCATTTTTTACAATTTATAAGGGCATAAGTAATCGATAGGAAAAATGCATGGTACCTACCGAGTCTGGTTTTAGCGGGTGACATACAAGGGCTGCTTTCAAAACTCCATATGCTGGCGTGTTGTAAAAATCAAACAGGACTATTCGGAAAGATCGTCACTATTACATCTTCACTTAGGTAGAACTTCCTAGTCGAAAACGCGTTTCAGAATTTCGGTTAACATTTCATGGGATCGGCCATTGACTGTAGCTGAGTGGGCTTGTTGGTGGACAGTACGGACGGTGCAATACTGAAGTACTAATATGACAACACAATTCCTTTTCAACAACATGCGAGGCCATCGTAGATCATCTTATCTCGATCCAGACTTATCGCGATTGGAGAACTTAAGGAGACAGATACTGAAAAGGATTTTCCGACCTTTGGTTTTTGGGTCAGGAGGGCTTTGGATGCCGCATAGCCCAAAACATCAATCAATGACTCGGGGCGTCTGCCTTAGAGTTTATCAGGAATCTTCCCTCTCGCTTGCACATTTCTGCTGCGTGAATGCCAACGGTAACTGCAATTTCAGGCTAGGCTAAATGCGTCGTTGTCTAAATCTTTCTACTAGGGCATAACACCAGTGAACTCAAGCGAATGCCTTCTAAAGTTGCAAACTGTTAGTATCGATCCATACTCATACGTGCATACGAGAGACGCCCTAGTACAGCGTATATAAACAGAATTCATCACTTCGAAGACACCTCCTTACTACCTTTGCGCCCCCAAGGCAGACAACAGTCCCATTTTAAACTCACAAGGAAATGTCGGATTGACAACCTGACGTATAAATAATTTATGGTTGGATTATCACAAGCCATCACACATCTTTTAAAAACAAGAACAAATCCATTTTACTGAAATGCATCAGACTTTGTACAACCCTACTTTTCTCGGTCTCAAATAATTTCGAACGCCCATGCTAAACAGGCAAGAATCAAGATGCAGTACTTGATTCTCTGTCAGATAACACGATATTGTATCATGTTTATGGCAACGCAACTAAGTGCAATATACTTTAGGGCATGGGATCTTTCTTCTCTGGAGCGACCGAAGACTCACTAATTGGATTGAGCAGAAGAAACCAGATCCTGTGTGATAATGGAATGGCGGAAGTTGACACAGTTTCCATAACTTATGCCTAACTATTTCTGACTGTTGTCGTTAAACAATCTACTACATACTTTATATTTTGTGGTTTCTAGTGTCATTACAGTCTGGCTATTCACAACAACAATCTGTACTCGGCCGATTTGGACGCCACTGTCAGCATGTGTCTCAGAGGATTGGAGGGTTCCACCTATCCTATCCGATTAGAAATTGCCAAACTTCTCGGTCATGCACTGGCCTCAAGTGTGCCCATAGAGTCTGCGGGCCTAAATGGGACCGCCTCCGCTACCGTGACTGTTGGCGGTGGTGCTGGCATCGGTAATGCTCCTTCGGCATCTGGTTCCTACGCATCATCAGGTACGACTTATCCTATTTTTTCCTTCCTGTGCCTTTAAACCCTCTGCCTATTGCTTCTCAGTGTTAAAGCAGCTACTGGAATACTGTGTGTCAACAATTTCAAGGTCATCTTTCTTTTAAATTATTTCACTTATTTCTGATTTTTAATCCTCTCAGAAATTTATCGCTAACTTGGACTAATTCTGTCTGCAGTAAAGTTTCAAGGCACAGACCGATATATTTGGATCAAAGTTCATCAACGACAGCCAATATCCGCGCTCTCAATATGGTGTATCATGTGTCCCCTATTTTAATATTTCTTTATTCCCTAACTCCTTTATTTTTATTTGCTTCTCAACCCGCTTTTTATTCAATTCTTTCCATCTCGTACCCATTTTTTCTCGTGCTCCCTTTCCTTCGTCTCTTCATTCTCCTTCCTCCTCTTCCTCCGCTGTGTGGCCTAAATTAAGGTAGTTGGTTTGGATGTTGAACGAAAATAAGATGATTAGCAAAGTCACGCAAACCCATCTGTACGCGAATCTTTTGTTACCCCTTTCTTCGACAAAATCTGTTCGTTTTGTGAATTTGTACATAATTTAATCTTCCTTTCGTCATCCCCCGAAGAGGAGGAAGAAAGGGTGATTTCTGGGACCAGGTTGTGTTTAAGCTGACGTTTCGAAAGCTTTCTCGCTTCCATCGTCAGAGCGTGTAACCGTTCTCCTGCTGGTGTCAGTAAATGTGTCCAAACGTGAGCCTGACGCCTGATACTCGTGTGCGTATGTGTGTGAAAGTGAGAAAGCTTTTGAAACGTCAGCTTAAGTACGACTTAGTCCCAGAAATCGACCCTTCTTCTTCCTCCTCTTCCGGGGATGATGGAAGAAATATTATGTCTGGACCACGAATTTTGCGTATACTAATTTAATCTTGAAGAAACAATCTTT